AATATTTTATACGTAAACTCAAAACTTTTTTCAAATTTTTAACCATGCAGGTTTTTTTTTTTTTTTGGAAAATGAAACAAGTTTCATTGCACATCACAATAGCTAACGGAAGAACCCTCTACATAATGGTTCACATAATGGTGACATGGCAATCATCAATTTATTGATGTGTACGTGTGAAAGTTGATTTAAAGGCAGGATCACATGCCACGTGTAATTTTGTGAACCATTTTGTGAATAGTTATATACCTGTAGCATTATCCAAAAATATTTTTCTAGGTCAAGAAATTGCCGACGTCCTCTCTCTTTTCCAGCCTGAATATTGTATCGCTGCCCGTCTCCATTTCGAGTGGTGTTTGTCTCCATTTCCATCCTCTCTTTGCATCTTGGTGACTTGTCTTTCACTTCCTCTCTTTGCATCTTATCTCTTCGAACCTCCAAGTGGCAATTTTTCCTCTTAGTTCATGCAAAAACAAGAGACAATTGGGCTTTTTGGTGTCTGGTGGTTGCGGGTGGTGCCAACAGTGGTGAGGAGTGGGTTTGAGTTGGTGGCACTGGTGTTTTAGGGGGTTGAAAATCTTGTCCTTTTTGGATTTAGGAGCAATCGAAGATCTCCAATTTTTCGCTAATCGTGGATTAGTTTTACCAGCTGATAATGGACCCTTAGCGATCAATTTTTTGGTCCAAAAAACGCATTTTTCTTGTAGTGAGATCACATTCATAAAACAGTGTTATGGTTTGTTATATTTTGTTAAGGTTAATTTCATTAAAATATTTTTCTTACCTAACACTAAAGTCAATTGTACTAGTAGAAGTTCTCAACTAGACTGGCAGAATGAAAGTTAAACAGCTTGATGTCTCGACCACCAGCGTGGAACTCGATCTACTAGATGGGGTGAGAGAGAAAGCAGCCATGAGGATGATAGCTGCGTTCCATCAATAATAATTTCAGAACATCGATCCTTCATTGGATAAATATTTGGAACGATTTATCACCATCTAGACATTCAAATTAACTTAGAAACAGTTAACGAAAAAAGACACGTTAACACATTTAAAGTTTCACAAAATGATGCAAGATAGAATTTTTCTATAAATTACAACATGTTTCAAAAGGTTACAAATGTGTTGCAACATAATGTAATAACATGGAAATTTGCATGTTACAATGTCATAACCAAAAAGTTATTCGCTCGATTTTAATTGATTGGTCATTACACAATATGATCGCCATCTTCTATTACCTCGACCAACATCATTCTTAAATGATCAAATAAAATATTATAAAAATTACAACTCGAATATAAGAATAAATATTCCCCCATGAGACATCAATAAAATTTCATATTTATTTTGGAATTAAAAAGTTGTGATGTTATACACTTACATAATATAATTGATTGATAATTTTAATCTCAATTAAACCGATCATTTCTTGAGCAACATCGTTTCAATATCAAATTTAGGGCATCGTTAGTAACATCATATTTAAATTTCAAAATATGAAATCACGTCTAAAACTTTTAAATTGTGTATGATCATAACTTTTATTGATAATTACCCGACTTGCATAAGAAATGTGATGTCGCAAAATAATCACCTTTTCACTTTTGCTTTACTGAGCCGCAAAATAGCCCTTAACTTAGTCTGAAGATTCGTATATTTCGAATATTTATCAAAATTCCATCAAACTAAAAATAAATCGTTCGACCATATTTTCATACCATTGGATTTCTTGATTTTTTTTCTCCTTCAAATTTCATAATTTAAAGTTCAAAAACCTCAAATGACCCGAATTGTCATGAATAAAACTTCAAACAGTCGGTTAAAATGTCCAAGTTGAACCAAACGTTTCGTTTACATAATTTCGGCCTCAGGAATATTATTTGGACCGGAAAACATCAATTGATAATATTTTGTCAAAATTTCACTTTAGTCCCTCAAGTTTATCATAATTGTAAGTTGTTCTTCAAACTTGTAAGACTTATAACAATGCTTCTAAGCCTTAAATAATAACACATAGTCATCCTTAAAACTGTCATTCAAGTCTAGAAATATTTAACATGCAACTTTTCATAAAATGCAATTTAGTCCTGAACTTTTTAAATATTGCCATTAATTCCTTTATTCCATTCCGACCCTCAAATGATTCATATTATCACTAATTCATCATCACTCAATTAAATCTAATTTTCCAAAAAAAAAATCATTTTTGTCCCTCAAGACTAGTGAATAAACAAACAAATAAATTCGAGATTTTGTACGCCTGTAACTATTTTAAGAAAAATGTTTTTTAGTGTTAATTTCACCCATGAACGCCGTATTTTCTACTTAGTGTCAACATGACCACCTGACTTCAATTTATTTCACTATAGCTATTGAACTTTTCACTTAGTGTCACCATGACCACCGAACTTTAATTTGTTCCTTCTAAAGGTTTGGGTAGATAGCACTAGGAGCCTAACCTTTGAACATTTTGATGATGGGATCCCGAACCTTTGATTTCTAGCAATTGGAGTCCAACACTTAAAAATATTTGCGTCTAAGATCCTTTTGTAATAAAAAAAAATTTAGTTTGACTATTAAAAGGTTAAATTTTGAATAAAATAAATATAGTACTTTTAATTTGATTTTAAAAAAATAGAAATAACTTGAAGCAAAACAAAATAATAGAATTAAATAATAAATAATAAAAAGTGAAAAGAAAAATGAAAAATGAAAATGAAAAAATTGAGGTAATCCACAACCTCGCCCCTCATTCCGGATTACCCATAAAATTGATTTTGCCATTTGTACATTATTTTCTATACACGAAGTTTGACATTGTCTTTGTTTTAAAAAAATTGTGGGAGAAAAACTTTTTGTAAAATAAAAATTAGTGAATGATAGTTTACCATGTCGCAAACTGTCAAACTTGGTGTACATCAAGCATGATTTCCCATACAAAATTCACCTACCCCACGCACTAAACATGCAGTCATGAGTCATCATTGGCGACCACCATCATTAATTCAAACACAGATTCAAATATGAAAGGATAGAAATTAAATAAACCTACAAAGTTCATTAATTAAAAAGAATTATTAATAAACTACAAAGTATCCTTTTCCTCACCTTTTATGTTTATTTTCATTTGTATATATATTTTAAATTAGTCAATTGAATAACTTGATTTCCTTAATGGGGAAAGTCCTTTCCATCTTTTCACTGGACATATTCTATCTACCTAGTCATTAAAACACCGTAAACTCTTTCATTAAAATACATATTTTCAACGAAAACGTGTTATTGAAAAGTTTGACTCGCTATATTTAGATTATAGATACGAGATCATTACAACATTCTCTGCATTTTAGTATCATACAACGATTTTTAAATACCGTAATCTTAACTATATACCAATTTTGCACTAGAAGTGCAAATACCCGAGATGACATGACTCTTGTTTGGCTCGATCCAGTCTTGGTGAAATGTGTGTTATGGATTGGCCCATCTTAAGAAGCTGGCTATGTTAGAATTGGTTCACGAGTCGCAAAGGTAGCCATGTCAACGAGGCGAGTCGAGCCACAAGCCGAAATTCAAAGCTTGGGCTCGGCTAGAGCAAAACAAGTCCGAATTTTTTTGGGCCCGAGCCGAACAAAAGCTAGGCCAAAAAAATGATTAATATATAAAAAAAATACATTTAAACTTAAAAAAAAAAGACAGCTGTCTGCCGGTGACGAGTCACGGGCTAGCTAAGGTTCGAGCCGACGCCCCAAAATGGGGCTCGGCCCGAACCTCGGCTCGATGCCACTGAGCTGAGCTTTTTTCGATTCGAGTCTGGGCATCCGAGCCTTTTTGACATCGCTACACAAAGGTCTTCTTTATAGTTTTTAGAAGTTCAAAAATCCATTGTGGACCCTGCAGCAGCCTGCCCTAAATATTTTACTCCTCCATTTCGAACTAATTGACAATCAAATAAGGACAGGAATGTTTAGCAAAGGCCAATAATTAATGCCGGAACCAACCAGCAATGTTTCATGTTTGACTTAGCTTACAAAGTTAACTTATTAAGTAATTTTATATCACTGAAATATTAAAGTAATTAATTACTTATTTTGTTGAGAAGTCAAAATACATATATTTGTTGAGATATTGATCCATGGGACAGTGACGTNACCTGTCACAAGAACCCTATAGCCTTCTTTAGTACTTTTGCTTTTCCTTCAAATCTTACCTCCCTCTTCATTCAAAATTCATATCAATTTGGTTCCCATTCCATCAATTCCACTCTACACCTACCCCACTGTTTTCTTGAATTTTTCTTTACAAAACATGAAAATAAGCTAGTAGAATCGGAAGGAAGGTCGTCCTCATGCGCCTACCTGCTCTCGTCACAGTCACCCCTTATTTGTCATCTTTAAGTGGTCTAGTCGAGAATCAAAAATGTTGACCACATCTTCGGTTGTACCATTTTTCCTTAATTTTACAGGCGTTTTCAATCAAAATTTATTTTCAACCGCACATTCCAATTAACACCCATCACTCATTTTTATATATTTATATATTAAACCACTTATAAATTCTTCCCAAATGGATTTCATCACTCCCACCCCACTATTTTCTTGAATTTTTTGAGAAAACTTTTCTTCATCAGTCTAAGTTGTGCTTGTGTGTAGCATTAAATGCTATATTTTGTTCTGCATAATGTCCCTTTCATAATTCTTGGACTAATACCCCCACCCTACCCCACCCCAGCATTTTCTTGAATTTTACTTGACAGTTGACAAAACTTTTCTTCATTTAATCTTCTCATTACGAGATTCTAAGGTGTGCTTGATTGTTGCATTCAATGCTAAGTTCTGAATCATGTTCCCTTCGTGATTCATATATGAATGTCCCCTAGCTTCATTACCATACCTCACTTTTTCTGTGATTTCATTTCCTGCATTTCTCAAGGGGCTATAAATTCAATTCAATTCAGCGTATAGTTGTATATTCAGAAGAGATTTCTGGGTTTAATGGAGATTCCAAGCAAGAAAACCATATCAAAAATGGAAGATTATGAAGTAATAAAACAAATTGGAAGAGGGCCTTTTGGAGCTGCATTTCTTGTTCACCATAAGATTGAGAAAAAGAAGTGAGGGTTGCATTTTTTTTGTTGTCTTACTTGAAGGCAATGATCAATCATCATCATCATCTTTTTGATATCGTCTTTTTGAAATGTGCATTACAGGTATGTTTTGAAGAAGATTCGCCTTGCTAAGAAAACTGAAAAATTTAAGCATGCTGCACGCCAAGAGGTCATTCTTCCAAAACATCTCTTACTATTATTATTTTATGTTTCACGCGACACAAATTATTTCCGGGGGTTCGTGTTGAGTAGTAATTCAGTATGTGTATGACATTCGAAGAAAGGTCTACTTTATCTGTTTCAGTGTAATTCCAAAATCAACACGAAAATCATGTCACACAAATGTATTATTATTTAACTGCTAGAGATAACTTGAAATGTTGTGCCAATAAACAACAAATGATGGATAGGAGCACAAAGGAAGATGACAAGAATAGGTTTCTTGCATTCCATACTTGGACAAGAAAAACTAATCGTCATTCGACTTGATCCTTCTATCAGATGGATTTGATGGCGAAGCTGAATAACCCCTACATAGTCGAGTACAAGGATGCATGGGTCGAGAAGGTAAACTAGCTGACTGAATTTACCTTGCAAACACTCCCTACACAAAACCGGTATTATAGAGTTCGTTTTTCTCATTGAAATCAAGAACTAAAGGTAACGTAAATTAAAAAGACTGAAAATGTGTATTCTGATGGACCACAGGACTGTTGTGTGTGCATTGTGACAAGTTACTGTGAAGGTGGAGACATGTAAGTTGCAATGAGCTTATTCAAGCATTTGAACTCTGAAGACTTGTTTGGTAAACGTGGATTATACTGGATAGTAATTTTGTCCAGTCCAGTTCAATGTTGTATACCAAACACGTCTTGAATGTTCCCGTGTCAATTTTAACCTGATCCTTGTATCCTCTTTGCTTATGCTGGTGCTACTGCTACAGGGCAGAGATAATCAGAAAAGCTAGAGGAATATTTTTCCCTGAAGAGGTAAGAAATCTATACAAACCAATTAGACGTTAAAGGCCTGTAAATAAGCAATCTCCTCCTCTTTTCTCTCCACAGAAAATCTGCAAATGGCTGACTCAATTACTTCTAGCTGTGGATTACCTTCACTCTAATCGCATCCTTCACCGGGATCTCAAGGTATATTTCTTTGTGAAGTCCGATATAAAAGGGATTTCATCATATTCACAAGTTCTTACAACCTTTTTGCTCCTGATCCAGTGCTCAAACATTTTCCTTACAAAAGACAACAAAATCAGACTTGGTAAGAAGAGAGACAGCATATTGTAATCTATGATCCCCCGATATTTTCTTGTATCTGATGTTAGATATACAGGTGACTTTGGTTTTGCAAAACTGCTTAGTAAAGACGATCTCGCTTCAACGGTAAAGATCTTTCTTCATATAACTAAACTTAGTTCTGCTTGATTACCAAGTCTTTATGTTGATAAATCCTGGTGAACTGTCATTTTATGTCAATCTAAAGACGTTCATTACATGTCGATTTAGGTTGTTGGAACTCCAAACTACATGTGTCCGGAAATCCTAGCAGATATACCATATGGCTACAAATCAGACACATGGTCCTTGGGTAGTTTTTCTGGCAACTTGTTTGTATCATTTTTTTTTTTTTTGACTCGGATGTTCGAGCTTTGCCCGACTAATACTGAGGAATGGTGACCTCCCCCCCCGGTTCGCCACCAGGGTAAATCTGGATGCGGTCACGGCTTATCATTATGTTTATTGACATGTTGATTGTATTTAGTCCAATGATGAGATGCCATGTGATATTATGTCAAGGATTATGTCAATCATTATATGAATGTGACATGATTGTTTTCTGTTTTCAGGTTGTTGTATGTTCGAAATAGCTGCCCATGTACCTCCATTTCGAGCTGCAGTAAGTTTCAAATCCATTTTCTTCCTAGTTTTATCTGTAATCTGTAGTTTGAATCATAGTCAATATGTATGGATGTTGATGAAACAGGACATGGCTGGGCTCGTGAACAAAATAAATAGATCAACTATTTCTCCTCTCCCAACTGTATATTCCTCAACTCTGTAAGTGAATCGAACGTCCATCGATGAAAATTCTAAACCATATCCCGAGTTTTTTTGGTTTATCTTAAACAGCAATAAGTAACAACACAAACTTACTTTTCGACATTGCAGGAAGCAAGTGATTAGAAGCATGCTTAGACGAAGCCCAGAACACAGGCCAACAGTAAGTGAGATACTCTTAACTCGTTTCATTTAAGTTAAAATTTCGTCTGATGCTTTGATGTGCATCGATTTAGGCTGCAGAACTTTTAAGGCACCCGCATTTGCAACCATATCTTGCGCAATATAGCAACTTACCTCCTGTATTTCTTCCGGTGAAATGTGAAATTGAGTCGAAGTGCAGAGCATCGAGGACGAAAATTCCTGACAAACCTACATCGGATAAAGATAGAAAACCTAGAACGAAAGGAATGGTGGAAAGGTCGAAAGATATTTCAGATACAGAGAGAAAGGCACGTTTGCTCACTCACTTAAAAGTTCCAAAACATAATTTGAAAAATCAGGCAGCAGATCTAAACCAAGTACCTAAAAGGGATTTGAGAGCTGAAAAGAATTGTCCCAACAAACACGAAAGTGTAGACTCGGGATCCTCATCAGGATCAAGTACACTGACTGAACGGCACGAAGACACGGAACAAAAAGAATGTACTCAGCAACTACGTGTTGCTGGTGAAGCTGGTATTGATTGTAAGAATCCTTGCAAGAAACTACACCGAAGAATGGAAATGCCAAGTTCGTTTCCTACTTGTAATAACCGAATAATTGAAGGTGAAACGTCGTTGGAAGGTAAGCAAGTAGGCAAAGATAGAAGTATAGAGGCACTTGTACATACAGCTGAATTCAGAAAAAACATATCTGAAAAACGTACTCTAACATATGTTGCTCCAAGTGAAGAGAAGGCAGAAGCTATGGAGACATTACTTGAACTTTGTGCTCAACTATTAAAACGAGAAAGGTTCGAGGAACTTGCTGGCGTGCTGAGACCATTTGGGGAAGACGAAGCTGTATCGTCGAGAGAAACAGCAATCTGGTTGACGAAAGGGTTGATGAATATTCAAAGACAAGGTGAAGAAGTTCAGCAGCATTAGATTTTCAGAACTTTCTTGCAATAATCTAATAATAAGGGGACATAAATTTGAACAGCTATCTGACCTAACGTTCCAATTTTATAACGCGGGGACCACATTTGCAACGTTAAAAAATTTGAACGTTAGAGCAAATCCAACGGCTATAAATACTAATATTCACTCAGTACATTCCTCACACTACATCTCTCAGCTTCTCTCTCTCTCTCGCATTGAATAGTGAATACTATCTCTGCATATCATTTTTCTTCTCTCGTCAAGATATTCAGATGGCACATTTCGGAATTTCAAGACCTGTTGCCACCGTCTTCGTCGTGTTATGTCTGGCAGCCGTCGCTGTGAGGGCACTGGATGCTGATTTAACACCGGGACTGGCACCAGCACCAGGTCCGGTCCGTCCGGATGCTGGACTCGGGTTATCGCTATCCGTCTCCAGTATCTTCATTTGCTCTTCGTTGCTCCTGTCTGCCATTGGGATTCTCATGCAGTAGATATACATGTTTTTGGAAGCTTGAGAAGCTGAAAATGATGAGAGAAAGAAACAGTACTATGGCAGTGATGATTATTCTATTATTTATTTTTAATTATTGTTATTTTTTCTAGTGCTTTTCCTAACCTTTGGTTAGGATTTGATACATGGCTGCGAGTGGATTTGATGAATAAAAAAACCTATATTTCTGTAATTCCATTTATTTGCTGTTTACATTGGGGATTCATTCATAACAGAGAAGTGTTCTGCAGATGAACCTGTTGAAGACCGTGCTCATCAAGAAATCTTCGCAAATTTGTTAGCTTTTGTCAAAAAATTGTTCAACAAATTAGTAATTATTTTTGCACGAGAACGTGACAGTTGACAAATAGGAGGCTAAATTAAAATCAATTTTTGTTTTAAATTACAAGATATCAGTGCTCAAAGAAAAATACTATGCATTTTTTTTTTTGCAAATTTACATGTGCATTTTTGGCAATCATCGTAAAAACTATGGAAAATATTTGCAGGATCTTTAAATTCAGTCGGTCGGTCCAAAATTGCTTTGGTATCAGGGCGCCTGCGGCCTGCCCAAGTGACCATTTAAGAGTAAAAACTGATTAAAAAGAATTACAGAAAAGGCATATCAATAGAAAAAGGCTATCGATGGAAAGAATTACAGAAGATAACTGTGACTCATTTCTAGTTCCTCAGGCCAATTCCAAAGTGAAACCGCCCAATTCGCTGGTCATTGAAGGCGTATTCAAGTCTTAGAGGTCCAAGTGGTGAGTCCACACGAATACCAACTCCATATCCATATCCGCTTCCAGGCTTATTTCTTGCCCCAGCAGGATCACCTGGTACATGCGCAATGTAAAACAATCAAACGAGAAACGAGAATATTGATGCAGGGAGGTATTCAATAGCACTGTGCAATACAATTGATCAAAGTTTAAGCCTTTTTATTGATCCCCATTTTCTAAAGCTCACTCATTTTCATCCATTGACCCATAACTTTTATCAAATTTTCAATCACAAATTTCATCGACTATTATCGAAATTTACTAAAAATCTGATTTTTAGCTAAACCAAACAGCGGCTAAGCTCTTTTTCTTCAATTTTATTCGGTGAAGTTCAATCTAGCATTCCTCCAAGGGTGCAACTGAGTATCACAAGCAAGCAAGACGTAACAGACCATAAGAAAGAAAGAAAGAGGTCCATCACTGATGGTAATATAAAATCTAGGAGTTGAAACCTTCATTTAAACGTAAATAAGTTTTAAATAATAATATTTTTATCCATCAAATGGCAAATAAGTTTCAGTCATATGGAGTAAGATACCAGTTATTTTCAAAATGATTAACCCTTTCAACATAAAATTAAGAAAAAAGTAACTAATCAAAACATGTTTTGGAAACATAGTCATTAAAATAATTACTTATTTTAAACTCAGCCATGCATGTATTTCCATCGCCAATAGAACTGAAGAGGGAGAAAGTAAATATACAAGACGCTAAGGACATACCTGGAACCAATGGACCGGAACCAAGATCAGTTCCGTAGTCTGCAAATATAGCCCCTTCTACTGGCCCCCTCTAGAAGATATGATAATTAGTAATAGATAGTGGCTGAAAACAAGTTTTCATTACAGTTATTCTGAAGGGCGAGCAGCCAAAGGGAAGATGGAAATTTTGTGGTTGAGGGACAGAAAGACCAAGAAGAATACCATATGGCTCATCACAACTATTCTAATCTGAACTAATTTGTGAAGCCACAATCTTTTAGACCTATGGTGTTTTTAAAGCTCATCTCTTGAAGCTTTTTTGAGAGAGAGAATTTGTAATCACACTCCTAATTCCAAGAACAAAATTTATCCAAGAGTAAGTCCAGATTTCATTAGGAGTTGGAAATGTTCTCCACAGAAATTTTTCATTTTACTAAAGCTGAGCAGTAAACAAGAAAATGGAAAGAGAATAATAAGAGACACACCAAAAATCCAACTATTGTTGAAATATATATAAATAAAGACCCAATACCTAGAAAACAAGAAACTCTCGCAAATAAACTTAAATTCCTCCACTTACCAGGCGGAATGAAATTTCTCCGCTTCCAACAACATAAGACCGACCTGATCCTACAGCCCCTTCTTCATAACCTCTCACACTGTTGGTTCCACCAATTGCAAATGCTTCATGGGGAGGAAATTTACCAACGACGTGACCACCTGACAAGCTGTGTGGGAGGAAAAGCTTGGATATTCAGCAAATGAAGACCAGGTATTCACAATTCAGCGGAATCTTGAGGGGCAAGAATAAATTACTATAGGGTAAAAAACACTATTAGTCAATCAACTTATAGTGAAGTTCCATGTTAGCCGCCAAACATTATTAAGTTCCATAGTAGTCCCTGAAGTTTTTTATTTTTTCAATATGGACACTAAGTTAACTCCATTAGTTTTTTCTAATAGAATGTTCAAATTGGAAGAACTCCGTCTTGACTCTCAAAAGACACCCACAACTTCATCTTCATGCTTCGTATGGAATGATAAAATGAAGACAAAGAGGGCATACCTAAAGAGAAGACATGCAGGTCCAACAACCCAACCCTGCCTGGTGCGAGCATTCACTCTGTTAAAAATTAGCCATTCTGGCAAGATAGGGATACCCTGATCTATGTTGAACACTAACTGCGAGTTCACAATTTTAATAAACAAAATTGTCAACAAATTATTAACGCGTGACATTAACAGAAAAATAAACGTAACGTAAACAACTAACCATTGAAGAACTAGGGTCACCCGAACTAGTATATACTGTCTCAAGTTTAGCAAGTAGCATATCATCATGAGTATTTCCACTGCAGTAAAATTCAAAACGAATGCATTAGAAGGTATTGCACTTCCTGTATATGAATCAGAGTAATCAAGTATAATGCATACCTTGCCGTAAGCGGGCTGCCATAGAAATCCCTTATAATAGGATCTCCCTTATCATCACGAGCCCCAGCACGCTGGAATTAATTTTTAATCAATCAAAAAAAGGAGTTACTTCAATTTACGTAGTGAATAGTAAATAGGAGGCAGTTGGATTTGGGTGACATTTAGCCAAATCAGCAATTAGTTAAAATTTTGTTCGAATGGCCAGAAAATTATGCAAGAAAGTCTTTATCAAGAAAAGTGGAGGTAAACGAAAATATTCTTCCTTGGCACGGTGTAAATTGACGGAAAAAGAATGGTGAACATTTCCAGAAAAACTGAGTTTTACGCAACACACAGGATGCAAGTAAGTTTATCCAGTAAAAATGTGTATCCCGAGACTGTCCATAACCAAATGCAGGGAAGCATAAAATAACTAATCTTAATGCACTTTCTTATTTCTTTTTCCAGTTGCACAAACAATGACTTAGGTCCAACTGACGATATTGAGGCAATTCGTGATCAAAGAAATGGAGTTGCCAAGGATGTGAACACAGTACAGAATTGTAGTGCCATGTTTTTTGAAATAATTGTTATGAGTCGGAACTTGTACAGAAAATATAGGAGTTTAGAAAATGATTTGAAGTGGTGAAAGGTGATGAAATCATATAGGTGTGTCATCCAAAGAGGCGACGAATCTGTTAGAAACTTATTCGACGAAACAATATAGAAGAGACTTGTTAAGCTATTATGGAACTTCTTTACTAAGCCGAAAAGGATTCTTCCGAGAAACGGGGCGGGCAGTCTTCACTTCAGATGCCATATCATATTATATATTCAGTCTTTGATCAATGAGAACCAGCAACAAAAAAATATCAAACTACAGTCGGCTGGGAGGGGGGGAATCAACAGGCACAAACTAATGAATACAAAGCCGTGAACCCGTGAAATGTACCTGAAAAATAAGTCCAGCCGTTCCATTCCACTTTGGCCTGAATGGCCGGCTGTATTCAATTCCAGCCGTAATACGTCCTATAGTCAGACTATTATTGTTGGGCTGGTTTCCATGAACATGTGTTCCGGGGGTTCTTGAGTTCTAATTAAAGTTAAAAACAATCGGAATTAACTTATATGAAGTGACAGAATGTATAAATTATACATAGAATCTTAACTACCTGAATTGTGATTGCTCTTGATGTCCTCTTATCATCTCCTTCAATCCAAGGATCAGTGTAGTTTATCCTGAATATTGAATCAATCTGTCCCCTCTCCAATGAAAGATTAAGCTTTTGGTTCCTCCCAAACAGATTTTTATGATAAATAGCAATGCTGCAATAAAAAATTTACAATGACTTAATTTTGAGAAGTATATGAACATAAAGAAATAAATCATGCATTGACTAGGAAAATAAGAAGGTAAATAACCATAAAGGGCATATGCAACATGCGCAAAGCATCTGTACCACACAGGAAATCTTTACAGGCTAAGAAGCACCAACACTGATCCTTGACATCATTTCTCTTGGACATGTTTTATCTCCATTTCAAATATGGATTTAATTTTCAGACAGAGTTCTCAACCTTTTCCAAACACTTCACATGCGAATAAACTCAAAATTCAATATTATGATCTCAATGTAAAGGCAATACATGATGAATCTTTTTTCTCCAAGGACAAAAGTCAGGAGGCACTTCTCACAATGTTAAATGATATACATAGTCTGCATGATTTGCATATTAGATCAATGTCATGTATTCCCATTTCATAACAAAGTGTCAAGTGCATGATGTATTAATTGCAAATATTGCAAGACCTGATAACATATGCATACAAGTAGAAACTGTTATTCATGAATAACCACAATGGTGCTTGAATTCAATTCTTAAGGTTTAAAAGATTGAAAAACCATTCATGCAAACACGAATGCATGCTTTTAGTTAATTAGTATGTTATTAGTGCTCTGTATCCTACTTTTCACTATTAGCCATGTTAGGAGGGTGCAGTGTATATGATATTCCTATTTTCAACCAATGACCGGTGTGAGCTCAAAGCTTCCTCCATAACTCCCGGAACTTCTTCGTAGTGGCTCCCTTCCATGTCTCAATTGAGAGGAAACCTCAAAGTGGCTCTATTTCATTATATTCCATCAATATCCCAATTCCATTCACTTAATACCCCTCTAGTATCATTGAAATAAAAATACCATTCTAGTCTATCTCTTTCTATTTCTTTTCTAAACAAGGAAAGTTCAAAAATCATCTTATGTCCCAATTCCATAACCCATACGCCTCAATGCAACCATAAAAAGTACAATGCAGTCAAAAAAATTAAAAATGAACTATAATATAACAAACTAACGCGAAAACTAAAATAACATCATTTGCAAACATTTATGCCAGTGCAGTCAATACATCCACTAGAATTTCAATCATACTCAGGTAAGTCGAATTGTCAATTTCAGATTAATGAACAAGGTGTCACACAACTGAAAAGGCATAGATAGTTTACAAAAAGATCTGCTCGATGCAACTATATTACCTTCCAATTAGTCCAGCTAGAGGTCCATTTGTTATTCTGCAGAGAGAGAGAGAGGTCAATAAGTTAACAGATACGAGATAATTGAAAACAAAAATATATACCTCAATTTTAGAAAAGTAACCAACATCAATATAGTTAAAAAAATCGCATACCCACTTGAAATTCCTCCACCACCAGAAATTCCTCCTCCACTTTTACGCTCGACAACATTCATTGTCAAATCAACCTTGTCAGTTTCTGAAACATAGCATCAAGTATTATCACTTTTAGGTCCATTTACATCACAGATGTTCATAGCTTGCATATGCTTTCATGTATAGAAGCATCCATGTTCATGTTACCTCCAGCTGGCTGAGGAATAATACTAACATCGTCCATTATACCCATTGCTAATACTGTATCCACGTCTCTTTTCCCTTGAATCATACTGTAGACCTATGTAAGACAAAATACACATCAACCTTTAAATCTAATCAACAGCATTCGGGTGAAACTCACCCAACTCAAACATATTTATGCTGATTGGATCTGTGAGCAATTGAGCACCAATAGCTCAAAGTGGCGACTAGAAATGCAAAGAGATGGAAAAAGACGCACGTGTAAATCTCATCACACACTCCAGCTAGGAAAAAAATATTTTAATTAGCACACCAAAGCAAAATTGAGAATGATATTAGGCATGAGCATTGCAACAATAAATAAATAAATGGTGTTTGTCTCAAAGCAGCAACTAAAATGCAAAGAGAGGAAAAAGACACAAGTGGCATATATCTCTCATGGTTCTCAAGTATCAAGCAAAGAGCAGATATTCCAATGAGTGCTTCAAAACAAGGCTGAAGATTAGGATACCTGTCCCTTCTTCGTGGTGAGTTGCCGAATTATAGTTTCTGGCCTTGTTTTCCCAATAGTTGGCTCACCACTGACGAGAACAAAAAAGCATAAGAATTATGACAGTTCATGAGTGTTGGTGTTCACATGGACATATAAGCATCCAAAATAGTTACTCACGTCCTATCAAGAAAACGTATGTTTATATTATTGACTTCTGCTTCTGAAACCTGTAACTTAATAATACCTCCAGAAAGAATCTCCGCATCCGAAACCTAAAATAATGATAAGATGAGCATAATTTGTACCAGAATAAAATTTGCCACCAAAAAGGATTGGAACTACGCCCTAAGGAATGAATGATGACATGGTGTTCCAGACAAAAAATAATAGAAGGATGGGTCTAAAAGATTATAAATTTATAATCATAAATAGAGCACTCACCATACCAAAAAGACCCCGCTCCATGTACCAACTATTAATGGAGCTTATAACTTCATCTAAGCGCCTGATGTTAACCACTTTTCCTGCATAACTTGACACCAAAATGAAAATAAGAAAGGTCTAACATCAGGAAATTCAAAAACACGGTATTTATTAATTTAAAACACATAAATGATTGGAATGGATGATCCGTGAGCATAAAGATTGCTAGTAAGCTTAACCAAAAAATGTACCATATCCATCCCGAAATGCATCCTCGATAAACTTTGATGGTAGAACATTAGCTCCTTCGCATACCAATCCTTGAAACTCTTGGTTTGGTTCCACCTTGTACAAAAATATATCGATATAAGTACACTATAACATCCTTCAAAAGAAGAATCTTTATCCAGAAGCTAGGAAATGCAATTTGCAACAAAATTAACTTTACTACCATGAGATTCCTAAAATATGATATACTCTATATAGTTTTACCAAAATGCTCCAAAAGATTTTTCTTGGCAACATACATGTAACATCATCATTCCATAAACCCCAAAAATGAAAACAATTCACATCACGTGCATCTAAAAGGCACAATACAAATACACATTCCAGTGACTTAACGCTAAACTCTTCGAAAGATTACACATTTCTATTCTATGGCCTATGCACAACACAGTGAAATTAATCCACACCACAATCATCAAGACATCATTTTATGGGCACACGCATATTTGAAAATCAGCATGATCAGAGTACCTGAAAAACCAAGCGAATGCCATCACGGGTGTCCACAGCCACCGGCATACAAGAAAAGAAGTACCCACTTGCAATAATCCTGTGCACGTCTTCCTGTACCTCACGCACTGTGAGCGCTGAATTTGCCCGCGAAGCTTTTAATGCATTCAGTACCTCATTCTCCAAATCCTTCCTCTCAAGCTCCTCCCCATCCTTGTTCCTCACCAGAACTTCACTAATCAAAACCCTCTCCTCTGCCCCCGGCCGACTACTACTCACATTCTGAGCCTTCGACTGAATCATCAACCCCGAGTCATCATTACCTTTCGACGGAGGCCCATAGTCAGAATCGGTTAAAGACAATGAAGAACAGCAAAAGAGTGCGGCGTTTGATGGTATAGAACCGAAATGGTTAAATTCATCGTTGGGTTTTTCGACATTACAATTTAAAAACGGGGTTTTCACGAATTGGAAGAGGGAATTGATGTGGTTGAAATTGAAATTGAAGGGTATCTTGGGGAATTTTCTGTGTGAGCTGAACTGGAGGGAAGAGAAGAAGGGGGTAGAAGGTTGAGGGTGAGGATGCGGCGAGAAAAGAGGGAGTTTGAGAGAGGTGGAAATGAAGTGAACGTCATCATTTCGGGGCATAATTTCTAGGGTCTATTGAAGAAGCAAGAATAGCAGTAGAATAATCAGTAATGGCGTAAATTGTAGATACAAACAGAAGACAGCTGAATCAATGGTGATGACACCTTTCGGGTCCATTTTGGGCCTTGAAAGTGGGCCGATATATTGAGGCGGAGCCCACTTTACATGAATAAGTTCATAGGGAAAAATTTATGGATCCGGAGTTTAGTTTCACGAAATCACGAATCAGGCCCCAACGCTTAATCTTTCAAAACTCAGGTTTTCGGTCGATTTAATTAATTATATTTAAATACAAATCTAATATTATTTTTTCCTTAATTTACTGATACAGTTAAGATTTCCTAATATAACAGATCATCTCCCTATTTACTTTGATTCTGCTTCATCCTCGGACTGATACCGATTCTGGACCAAATTTGACGGCAGATTAAAGGAGAAATCGGTCACATATCAGAACTAATCCTCGCCGGTCACGTAGTTCCA